GACAAGCATCAGCTGGAGACTGTTATTTGATGTTTTCTCACCCAGGTCCCAGCAGGTTCCGCAGGGAACCTCCCTTCAGAGATCAGGGCTCCATTGCTACAGCTCCCCGGGTCTTGCCTCATCCGACAGTCTGCCCCTGGCTTGCTCTCTCTTCCCTTCCCCTTCCACCTCTGCCCCATGCTCCTGCCTTCTCCAAGCCCCTGCCTGCAGGAAAGAGGCAAGAATGTTTGTTATGCTGAGATTAGCAAATGAGAGTGGGCATCTCTCTAGAACAAAGCCACAAAATTACTTCTGTCGGAAACCTCACCCGCTGGGCCGCCTACCCAGCTCCTAAATCCTGCTCCCGCTGCTCTGTGCTAACAACCTGGACTTTTCAAATATATTTCAAAGTTAAGCTAAAGAAACCAACCTTGAAAGAAGAGACATGTATTTACTTTAGTGTTTTATGAGACCGTAGGCAGGGTTTTGGAAAGTAGGTTTTTTGGGCTACATTCCGTATGATTTAAAGATGTAAGGAGATAGGAGAAACCAGGGAATGTGGGGTCACAGGACACTCCGGTGAAAGGAAAGCCCCCTCCCACCCCCAGGCAGGCTATCGCTGGCAGGGGGTTGGTGGGAGGGTATGGGGTGTGAGGCAGAGATCCCTGACTGTGCATTCCCCACAAGCCATGGAGGGACAGATTGCCACTTTGAAGTGCCTTCCTCTACCTGTGGGAAACTGCAAGAAGCGAGGGACAGAGGGCATGTGTGAGAAAGGACAGCTATCTTGGAGAACATCCAGTAAGGCTTCCCTGTCTACTGGCAAGTCCGTTCTGCAGGCTGGGGACCTCTATTACAAAATCGTGTTACTTAAAGAGGGAAGGGTGGGTCACTCTCACAGGTGCATGTGACGGAAGCAGGCAAAATGGTGACTGGAAGAGAAGACGATCTTAACCACACACCTAGGACACATACTCCTTGTAGTGTTTTTCTCTGAGTTGTTTCTATTTCCTTTTCAGATCAATTCTGCCAGCATTTAAGAAGTTAACACTGCTGCGTCCACCATACCTGCCCCTTCCCGGGGTTTGCTGGAAGCCAGCACACACCCACAGCCACACCAGCTGTCTTCATACATTCGTTCTTTCTTCCTGGCAACGCTGTCATCAGCCAGGAGGAGCGGCTGCCGGCTCGCCCAGGGTGTGCAAATGACAGCGCTCTGGCAACAAGTTCACTATTAAAGGCAGAGGGCAGGTGCCTGGCTAGAGGAAAGCATCTCTCACTGGCGGTGCTGCTTCCAGAGTTACTCTACTTGGACCTCAGCTTCTTGTCCAAAGAAGCACCACTGGCCCAGAGGCCGCAGCCACTCCTCTCAGATGGGATTTGCTCTGGGTAGAGGGATTAGGGTGAGCAAAGTGAGTATGCTGAGAAAACAACGCAGGCCAAGACTCACTTCCTTTTGCAAAAAGAGCAAAAAGAAGAGTAAAAGGAATAAGTTTACCAGGTCCCCTAACCAAGTCCACCAGGTCCCCTAACCATCCTCTGATGTTCGCTCCTGATTGCTTTGTACGACTCATTTAAACAAAGCAATGTTGAAATGTGAACCCTGAAGTACGTTCTTTTATACATCAGTGCTTGTTCATTGACATGGTTTGGCTTAATCTCTCTCTCTCTCTCTCTCTTTTTAAGTTTATTTATTTATTTTGAGAGAGAGAGTACCAATGTGCACACATGAAGTGGGGAGGGGGCAGGGATGGGTAGAGAAAGAATCCCAAACAGGCTCCTCACTGTCACCGAGAAGCCCCACGCAGGACCTGATCCTACAAACCATAAGATGGTGGCCTGAGCTGAAATCAAGAGTCAGATGCCTAACTGACTGAGCCACCCAAGCACCCCTGGCTTAATCTGATCTCCTTTTCCATGATGTTTTCAAGTTGCCTTTAGGCCATCTTCCTCTTCCTCCATTTACTTCTCTCCCCACCCCCACCCTCCACTGGAAACCCACTGCCAGAGGGGGAGACAGGCTCACTGAATATAAAGCTTACATCCCTCTTTTTGGTAATGAGCCACCTATGGAATCATGGAGCTCCCCCTAAGCTCTGACCTCTTTCTCCACCAGGCTCCTAAGACACCACACTTCTCTGGCTCGCCTCCTCCCTCCCTACTTGCTCCTGCTCACTTTCCTTTAGGGGCTGTTTCTTTTCTCCCTGACCTGTCAACTTGGGGGGACCAAGTCCTCTCTCGGTCGACACTCCCTCCCCTCCTGACCTCATCTGGATGCGCCACGTGCTGATGCTCACATGCACGTCTCTAGACCGGACCTCATCTGCTGAAGCCGCAGATGCCCACAGCCCACGGCCTACCCAGTGCCTCCCCCTGCTTCACAGGCATCTCACACTGAGCATGTCCACGATGCTTCCCCAAGCTCCCACCTGAGCCTTCTCCACTTCAGGCAGCAGAATACCGTCCCTTCCAGGACCCGAACCTGGGATCCACACTTGACTCTGCTTTTTCCTCCACCCCTACTCTCTAATCTATCAATAAATTGTGGGGGCGCCTAGGTGGCTTAGTCGGTTAAGCGTCCGACTTTCGCCTAGGTCATGATCTCGCGGTTCGTGGGTTCGAGCCCCGCGTCGGGCTCTGTGCTGACTGCCAGCTCAGAGCCTGGAGCCTGTTTCAGTCTGTGACTCCCTCTCTGTCTGACCCTCCCCTGCTCACGCTGTCTCTCTCTCTCTCCTAGAAATAAATAAAACATTTAAAAAATAAATAAATAAATTGTGTTGTCTTTTTCATTAGATCTGGAATCATGCCATTCTCACTCCCTGTGTTGTATTAGATACATGTGGCTATTAATATTTAAGTTGAACTTAGTTAAGATAAGAAATAATAAAATAGAGGAAAAAATGGAATGGACCAAGTGAGAACTCTTAAGAAAACAAGAATAAAAATTAAATTTAAGAGTTGCATTCCTTACTTGTACCTGCCACATTTCAAGTGCTTATGGGCCACATGTGGCTAGTGGCTCTGGTACTGGACAGTGCAGATGCAGAACATGTCCATCCCTGCAGAGGGCATGAGTGGCCAGTGCTGCTCACTCCTTTCATCGAGGCCACTCTGTCCCAGCCACTGAAATCTCTTGCCTGGATGACTATAATGGCCTCTGATCTGATCTTGCTTCTTCAGTCTTCACAACATGGCAGCCAGAGCGATCCTTTGGAAACATCTCACGTTATGCCTCTCCTCTGCCCAAGGTCATCCAAAGATCCCATGCGTGTCTAACAGAGAAGAAGCTAAGTCTTCGGAATGGCGAGCAAGCCTTTACGAGCTCTGGCTCCTTTTATGTGTCTGACCTGGTCTCCCCCACCTTCCAAAATGGTCTGGCCACAACCACGCTGGCCTCCTGCCGCTCCAGCCTCCAGGCTTCTGGACTGGTTCTTTCCTCTGCTGAGCACGCTTCCCCCCCCCCCCCCCCCCCCCCCCCCCCCCCCCCCCCCCCCCCCCCCCCCCCCCCCCCCCCCCCCCCCCCCCCCCCCCCCCCAGATGTTTTCCTGGTTCACTCCCTCTCCTCCTTCCAATATCAAATACCACCTTCTCAGTGAGGCTTGTTTAGATCCCTTCTAAAAATGTAAACCCACCCCTCCCCTCCAAGCAGTCTCACCCTTCCGTACCCTACCCTGCTTCACCTCGTCTTTTCCATAACCCTTATCTCCTTTCAACAAATGATATGCAGTTACTAGTTAATCTTTTCTAGTGTTTACTCTCTGGCAGGGAATTTTGTCTAAATATTTGTTCAATAAATAAATGGAATTTTGGAGCTGAAAGGGCCTGTGGAAATCATTCTTTAATGGAGCAGCTGAAGGTTAATGAGGTGAAGTTAGCTACTGTGGATGCACAGTAAGTTCAAGGGAAATGCTTGGACTAGGAGCTGGCCTGGTCCTAGTCGTCTTCTGGGCAGTCCCATGACAATGACCTTCCGTCTCCCTTTCTCTGTCACAACCAGAGGGGCACTGACCAACCACAGGGAACCGGCAGGGATAACAAATGTGAGGACAACCACCGAACTGCTATGCCAGGGGTATTTGTCACTTTCTTCTTGGTAAGACTATGACTGAACCATTGGTCTTGCTTCTCAGATGACATGCAGGAAGCAAGGAACAAATGGGAAGGAAGCTCAAGCTGATGGCTCTTCTCAGCCCAGTAGGGTACAGGGCCAAGACTCTTGGAAAACTGGAAACACACATGGTTGCTAGGCTTTCCCTAAAGCCATTTGTCAATCTTGTTGTAAAAAAGAAAGTCATGCTTTCATCATATACTTGCTAACTTAGTATTAGGAAAAAAGTTGATTAGTAGGAACAAAATGATCCTCCATTGCATCACTGGACTATTTCTGACGACCCAGAGTAGATGAGAAGGAAAGTGGATCCCAGATCCCAGTTTGTGTCATGGGTCCATCTGTCTTCCTGTAGCTATAAGGAAAGGCCATGTGAACATACACATTTTTAAATGCCTCAGGATGACGGCTTTTCTGCTGCCAATTCCGATTCAAGAAGAAAACACAGTGAGCAAGTCTGAACTTCATAAACAGATCTGTTCATCACGGCATGGCTCACAGGTGCAGAGCTCTGCAGCGCGATATTAGTAAAAAGCCTGGAAGACTCCATCCATGGCTCACTGGACGATTTAACTTGCCAGAGGATGCAATTAGGAACAAAGTTATCTTTCTAGTCATTTCTTCATTACGGAGATAACTCAATTGGAGACTTTTTGGGAGATGCCAGATTTGGAAATAAAATCCTTATAGACTGCACTGAAATGTCATGAAGATTATACCAGAAAACAAATTGATACGCATAGACAATCTTCTGTACATACCAGAAAATTAGATCTCAGGGGAGAACGTGGGGCTAAGATGTAAAGTCAAGGGTGGCGGGGAGGGGTGGAGGCAAAGTACAGTGAAAGGCAAAATCAGCGGCTTCTGGGAGAGAGAGAGGAGCCCCGAATGCCCAGGTGCTCCCCGAAGTTACCTTGGGTGGCGCTCTTCATTGCTTTCACTAACTTGCCCCTTCCAGCTCCAAAACCATTATTTCCATAGTGCAGGTCACTTTCACTATCACTGCCACCACTGGCAGAGTACGCACACATTCTGGGTACCTTGTCCTGAATAAGTAATACGAGACTGTTAAGATTATTCACGCAAGTCAAAACGGGGCAGAACATCCTGTGAGGATGGCAAACAGTTTCAGAGTTGGCTGGCTGCGTGCGCGCACACAATTCCATTCCGCTGCCCCGCCCCCAAGAACAACTCGGCTTTTCCTTTCTATCTGCCTCACGCCGAGCTGGCACAGTTTACTCAATTAATGGAGCTACAGAAACAGCGCTGTGGTAATGAAGCCATTGACCACTCGGAGGCCGTTGTCCCAGGCCCAGGAAAGTCCTTGCATTTACCTGCTCTGCATTTTGTACCCTTCTTTATGGGATCTTATTTTTCTCAAGTGCCTATTGTGAGCAGCTCTTCCAAGCCTAATGGCTTATTTGTTTAACGGATCTCAGCATTGGCTTTCGAGTATCAGAGGGTGTGGAAAAATCAGCCTTGAGCACAGAAGAATCCATGCTTGCCTAATTTATAATTTTCTTCTATCTTTTGAAAGGACAGGAGACTTTCAAAGCATGCAGTTACTAACCCTATATAATCCTTGAATCAGATTGAAAGTTCATGGGTTGAGGGACTCAGTCTCCCCTCCTGCTCTCATGCACACACAGCCTGACTCTTGAGATGTCACTGGTGTGGTGATATGGCCCTGCCAGGAATTCTTGAGGTGGCTGATACCATACAAACCGTGTCCCCTTCGTGCCTAGAATCAGAATACAAGATCTAAGATGGCAACTTGGTGTACAGAATTAGAAAAGAATGTCTTTTAAGTTTGCAGGCTGCCCCATTAGAGCCTATTATACCCCATCCATCCTAGAGAGTTCGAGTACAGATGTATGGGATGGATCTCTAACGTCTGTTAGGGAGGATGTCATTCCACTGGAAATTATAAAAACATACTTTAGGATGTCAGCTCCCTCAGCTAGGGTTATGAGTTTAAGCAGCAACTCATTCCTTTATACTTTCATTCATTTACTCATTCATTCACTCATTCAACAAATGTTTATTGAGTGCCTATTCTGTGCAAGAGGTGTGCTAGCCTCTGGGGTTACAAAGCTCAATACAAGAGATATCATGTCCTCACGGACACGTCTCCTGGCTGTGGCTCTAGGGAAGCCCCACACCTAGAGTTCTAGCAGGACCCCAGTAACACTTTCTGGGTTTGATGAGATGCATATTGTCATCTCTCCATTCAACAAACACGAGTGGAACCAGGTGCTGTGCTGGGTGCTAAAAAAGTAAGCTAACTCTTGCTTCTAAATTTCGCTCCCTGGTAGTCAGCAGAGCAGGGTTCAACAATCCAAGCCACAGCAGTCAGTCTCTCAAATCAGAGCAGGATTTCCAGCGGGCAGAGCTGGGGCAGGATGAGGGAGAGAACCCCCAAGAGGCATACATATTTGGTGGGCATATATGTTGAGAAAGGGGTGTGCTGCCTTCACTTGTAGGCTGACAGCACTCCCCTGGCTGACACTCAATTGTTGTTGGACTTGCCTAAACCCTTTTGCAACTGTCACCACCTGTTGTTTTTGAGTGATTTGCCCTCCAACTTTGGGTGTCTTCAGGGTTTTCTCAACTTGCCAGTCCCCAAAGCAAGCACAGGGTCCTTGGGACAGTGCATGGACCAGCAACATCAGCGTCGCCTGGGAATTTGTCAGAAATGCTTGGACCTCAACCCATCAGTACCAAATGGGACATGGTGTGAGTGGAGAGAGTCTACCATGGTGTCCAGGTGACTCTGATGCCCACTCACGTTTGGGAACCACTGCTTTGGAGGAGTCTTTAACGCTTCTATGTTTAAATTAAGGCATGATAAAGTACAGTGGCTTACTCTGTTCTCTCCTAGGCTCCTGCCTTATAGAGGCTGCCCTTCTGAGTGTTAGACATGGAATGCAGAGGGCTGAATTCTAGTCCTGACTCCTCAGTGACTTTCCCGTGGACCCTGAGCATGGTGTGGCACCTCTCTGGAGTTGTGTTCTCTGCTGTAAATTGAGACTGTGAGCCCAGAGGATCTCTTTTTCTACGTGTCTACGACACCATGCTGAGGTGCTAAGGCTGAAAGAGGATTCGGCTGCATTGACTGTGGTGGACTCCAGATGTGGGGTAATTTGGGTATCTTCTCATCATAGTTGGTAGGAACTCTAGTAGAAATAGCAATGGGGGCTCCTAATGCCAGGATTGGAAGAGGCAAAGGCAGCAGGGATGGGAAGAGTCAAGGAAAGGTGGGGAAGCTCTGATAATTGATCCGTATGTTCTTCTTCCCCTACCTTCTCACTACCAGGCATCCCCAAAGACACTAAAGGGGCCCAGCTCCAGGAATTTGAGAGATAGGGGACAGGTTGAATATGGCTTAAGTAACAGGCTGGAGGAGGTAAACAGGAAGAAGCCTAGGAGGGAATACCAGGTAATCCTGAGGGGTGACAGAAATGCCCCTGAGCCACAAGCAACTTCCCAGGTCCAGTCACACATTAGGAGTCCTCTGTGGGCCATCTCAGGGTAGATGAAGAGCCCATGGCAAAAAGGATGGGACTGAAGAGACAGAGATCTCACTGATGCTGGCCAGCCATTTGCCTACTCCAGACCTCAGTTTATGTCTCCCTAAAAGAAGTATAATTATACCTCCATTACCTGTCTCATAGGAACAAGGTAAAGGATAAAGAGTAAGGATAAGATAATGAAAAAGTATCAATGACTCATTCTCAGTGGTGCTCTTATCGTGGGATAGCGAATGCCTGTCCGTGGCACCTAATCTGGACAGATCGTCCACGCCTCAAGAATCTAGGTGCAGAACTGTGAAAGTGCTTCACTTCCTCCCAATAACTCATGGTATCACTTAATAATTCAGGAAGAAAGGCAAGCCCTGGACCTTAGTTTTGATTCACCAAGCCAGTGACAAATTTGATTCAAAAGTTGAATCTATCGTAAAAGTGCTTAAGGAGATCATTGTTCACCGTCAGGAGGAATAGTGGAGGGGGCCTTCCTGCCAGCCTCCCCTTACCTGGGTCTCAGCTGTGGGGTCTCCACCCTCCCAGTCTGGGAACTGCTCAGGTTCCATTGTGTTTTCGGCATATTCAAATGACGAGCAGGTCTGAGGCCTTGGCTCTGCTTCATTCTGCTTTTGGGAATTGATTTTTCCTACGTGAGAAAATGTACGTGAAACCACAATCAGCTTTCTTCAGCTCTTTCCAAGTTCAGGGAGGGAAGTGAGGGAGACATTCAGAAATTAATAATAATAATAATAACAACAATAATAATAATAAGTCCAAATACGCTCAAAGCTGGGTAGGCTAACATTCTGTCTGCAGCAAGCTTGTGCTAACTATACATCTGCATTGCATGTTGTGTGGGTATCTGTCGAGGATGTCCACCTTGGAGAGCTGAAGGCAAACTTTCCCATAAAATGTTGATAGACTTTCCATGTGAGGAAGAGGTCAGAGGGAAAAATCATTTGAGAAACACTGAGTAGTCCTCAAATAGTGTTATCCATCAGATAACAAAAGTCTTCCTGTTTGGAGCACTTCTTAGAGCCTTCATTGTGCTACTGGAAATTGTCATTATGTCCAAACCCATCATGTCCAGGATTTGAATTAGAAGCCCTTCCCAAACATACTTGGGCAGGGAACCCTTATTTTCCTAGAATACCCATTAAGGTCATTCCCAACACACTCATAATGTGCAACGGGAACTTTGCTCTAAAGGCCTGGCAAGGCAATACTTTTCAAGCTTTTATGTGCCTACGCATCAGCGGAGTTTTTGTTAAATCGCAGATTCTGAATGAGCAGGTCTAGAGTGCGGGTCTGAGATTCTCCATTTCTGAGAAGCTCCCAGGCGATCCAGATGAGGCTAGCCCATGGATCACACTTTGAGTAGCAAGGGTGTAATTAGCAAGGGATGATTAAAGAAAGTTCCTCCACTACCCTTAATAGTAGATTAACCTGCAGAGTGTATTCCTTCCTCATGCCAGAAAAGAGAATTGCTGTTATTATCCCCCAGCCTCAGTGATTACCAACAGGACATGCTGTGATAGCCTCTCAACAGCATTTTACTTGTGAGCAGAAGCGAAGTAATTGTATTTTCAACAGCACTGAGAGATTTGTACAGTTACCTCTATTTTTGATACGGGGATAAGTGAAAAACCAATTCAAATACAGGCATTTAACAGGAAGTGACTCCTTCTCTAAGCAGGAATAACTTCACTTTCCTTTTGTTCTAGCTAGTTCTCCATTCCCTAGTTTTTTAATTGAGTAACCAATGGCCATAGAGAAAAGAGAAGCCTTGGAAAGGCAGCCCTGCCTCTGGACCACAGTGATGGTATCCATTGGTAGACAGGAAGCTTTGGGGTGGGAGTCACAAAAATACACTGTAGTTATGTTGACCTCAGACTCTACCACATACGGCTTTTTTATAACTCTCCATGACAATTTAATTAAGACACAAACCTCCAAAAATCCAGTGCAGTGAATATTAGCAGCAAGATCAGAACAATCTCCTTCCAATCCCCTTCTTATGAAGCAATTCAAGGCTTGTGGTTTCTATTCAATTTGTTATAATGACAGTGTTTAATCATGAAGTCTACTCGGCAGCCCGCCGCTGAATTGAGGTCACACATGTGACTATTCAAGCATGGAGCACATAATCTATAACTAAGATTTTGCCCCTGAGTCTCTGGAGGCTGTGTCATTAATTAACAATGCATTTATTTAAAAAATAATATGCATTACAGCCTTTTAAAATGTAGCCTTGGCTTGAAACGAGCAGAAGTTTGTGATGAAACATTCATGGCAGTTAGTATTATTGTATGAAGAGCTCAGCCATGGGATTAGCTCAATCACATTTATTCAAAGATATTTAATTAAACGCCTTCTTTTCTAATTTCTCAAAAGCCTATAGTATAATTTCTACTTTGGCTCCTTTCTAGTCATCAAATTATAAAAGAAAGTCTTTAGAGTTCTCGTTTATATGCTTATACATGTCATAAATGCAACATAGGCCATGCAAGTTAAAAATTATTTAGGATCATCCTGCACTGCAATAAATATTTTTAATCTTGAGGGAACAATGAAGAAACTTTGACCCTTAGCCTGGTCCTATCTTTAATCAGGGAAGCTTGTTTCAATCGACTGTGACAAAGGGCAGTACGTCTCTTCACGGAGGCTCATTCCAGTGTACTGCAGTTAACGCGCAATCTACTCCTGATCCATCAAACAGATTTTTTATAGTTCAGCATATAAATATATTTGAGCGGGACAGGAATATATCAGAAGACAAAAATTTCTGGTTAGAGGGCAAACAACATCTCAGCTAAATTTATGTCTTGTGCCTAACCTGGTCTATATTCAGATTTAGGTTTTACGAGATAAAATCCTATGGGTATATTGTATGGTTTTTATTCTTAATCAATTTGTATATCCATATACCCATGCTTACGTGTGCGTGCGTACACTCTTTAATGTAATGTTAAGAGTAGATGATGTTTGACATTTGTCTTTTTACTTTTTGGTTGAGGACCTCTAGGGATGTTCATGCATCCACATCCCCATTGGGCAGAGGTCACTGACTGAACTCCTGGTGGAAACCTTTTCTTCTGCCTGTTTTCCATTTTTTAAGTGCATTATTTTGGTGTGGAAACAATCTGATTTGGAAAGTCATAGGCATTTTACCTGAGGAGGCTGGTTTGGGGAGGCGACTTTCAAGAGGACGCATCCCCCTGGCGGTCATGATGGGGTCCGAGGTGGAATGAACAATGGCATTATCTGCAGATGCGCGGCGGTCTGCAGAGGAAGGCACTTCTCGTTCAAGGGTCTGAGCTCTGACAGAAGAGGCTGCACAAAGTGCTGGCTGGAGAGACAGGATGGGCTCCGTGTCCTCTGGGGAGTCTGGGTGGCATGTGTACCGCCCTGTGGAGCGATTTCCAGAGTCTGGGAGGGGGAAGGTTCCAATCCCACTGTCCAGTGTCCTCATCAGGCAGTTTGATTCTAGACCAAGTAACAACATAGTGAGGATTAGACAAGACTCACATAAAGGTAAAAAGGATCATGAGCATTTGTATCTGATCTGGAGAAAGGAGTATATCTAGAAGGAAGAAATACTATTAATGGGGTAGTAAATTTCCAGTGAGTGGCATCATAAAGTTTAATTAAACATGGAGATACTCCCTCCACTTAATATGAGGTACGACAGCTAGCCATTCCTGGCAGTAAGAGTCACAGGTACATTTCCCTGGATGGCTCTCTAGAATTATCATAGAAAAAGAACAGTCATTAGAGACCAAAACATAATTTTGGTAAACTTTATTTAATTGGGAATCATAGGACTTCAACCAATTAGGTGAAATTTATTAACCGAAATACGATGAGTAATGAGCCCACATAACACATTGAAGTGCTGTCCTAACAAAGGTAATAGTGCGTCTCTTACATGAATTATCATCCACTTGGCAATTAACTAAGTCTCTGGTCTCTCAAATTTAATTGTGAGGACAAGTAACTCAAGTACTATAAGGGTTATCCCAAAACATACCTTACCCATGGTAACAGCACTGTATCATGTGGGCTTCATCTGACCCAAGTGCCATTTGAGGTCAATTTGTTGAGAAGACCACAGAGCCACTTCCTGTCTTTTACTGACTTGATGTAATGACAGCCCAAAGCTCTATGGACTTCTTGTCACTCCCAGAGATCCCACTATTCCCCAAAACAAATCAAGTTGATTTCACCATATGGGAGTAACAAATTTTGCTGTGTTTCATCTTTAAGAAATTTTAGACACAGACAAAAACACGATATCTGAAAAATTTATTATGTATTTGATTTCTAAAATGGTGGTATGATTTATCCAAGCCAATGAGACAGCTTCTAAGATCTGTTTCTCACCCCAAAAGTCTCCTGTTTATTTGACAATCTTAGAATAAAGCATCCCTAGTAAAGTTTGTGTCAGTAGTTTATAAGTCTAAGTAAGAGACACAATTGAGCACCCTTTAAGGCATGGTGGAGAATATAACAGAATAGGGCATAATCTCGGCATCAAGAGGCTCATTAGTAAACATTTTACAGTGAACAATGGCTTGGAAAATGGTAAATGTCAATAACTATTATATGAACCCCAACACAGGATTCTTAACCTCTTGAGGTTTCAGGTTCCTTATAGGATTGATGTGAAGATAAAAATGTGTTTGCCACCTGATCTCTAGAATTGAGAATGACACCAAGCATACTGTGAGGTGGCTGGAAGAATTAAATACTGAGCAGTGACATATACAAAATGCTTAGCATATTTATTAGATATTAGCAGATAGCTGGTAGTGTAACCATCAGTGCCTTTCTTATATAATCTCCTTTGTTGCTGAGCAATTAGTATCAGAATTCCCAAATCTGTCCATTCCCTACCCTCTTCCTCAAAATCTCTTAGCTGTAAATGAGTGGAAGAATTCTGGGAACTTCCTATAGTAAGGTAAAAAACAAAAGGGTAGGGGTGTGGATAGACATGGTTGTTTTAAGTTCTAGCAGGTTTGGTGCTGGGTTTGGAAGCACTGGGAAGACAGTCCCTATCAAAGAAGAAGGTTCTGTTTTGAAAGGTATATTTAGTGTGAAGTTGCAGATACCCTCTCTCATTTAGCCATCTCATATGCCATCCAATCTCAGTTACTGGTTAGGGATTGCAGGGGCCTTGATTCAAAGGACCATGTTCTGGGATGGGCTTTTGTTTTTCAGGATCACGAGGGCTAAGTTTTAGGCCCATTCATTTCAAGGCCTCCACCAGGCCAGCTTTACTCTGTCAGATTTGAAGATTACTCTTTATCTTCTCTATTCATTTTCTCCTCAGTTAAGGGGACCTGATTGTTAGAGAAGGGCCTTTCTGAGAAATGAACAGATGTTTGCATGGGGAGGCATTGCCAGAGAGTTAAAAAAAAAAAAAAAGAGCCTGTTATTCAGAATTTGAGGTCCTTCTTTCATTTTAGCCTAGAAATACAAAACCCTTCAGATTTAGCATGCCCATGTGTTGTACTGGAGCAACTGTAAGAGTCTGAACTACTTTAGTCTTAGACAGGAGCAAGTGGGTCTTCATCAGAGCTGACCCAGGACCTGGGAACGGGAGGCAGACTCATGGCACGTGGAGGTGTGTTAGTTTCCACAGGCCCCAGGTCACTTCCCATAACATTTTACTCCCAGCACCTTCAGGGATGCACCTGAACTAAAGGGTGCTCAGCAGGATGAGACAGGAGGAGCTCTCTTCCTTTTGTGGGCATGCATCATCGCATTTGGCTACTTGGTGTGGCCAAAGGACTGCCCTCCTTTCTTTGCATCAGTCTTCATCTTCAGTTGTTAGAGGGTGAGAACTACTATCACCATCTACAAATGAGGAATCAAAGCTCAGAAGGTAAAGTACCTTGCCCAAGGCCTTGCACTATAAGGAAAGAGGTTGGATTTGAATCCAGTCAGATGTATCTACAAAGACCATGCTCTTAACCATCAAACTGTCCTGATACTTTCCCAAAGTATAGATAAATCCAGATGTGGGGTCCACTCATTTAATAGTCATTGAGGCAGCCTTGGGAAGGAAAGCTCACAGAAAGCCCCTCTGCTCCTCAGCAAGAGTTCAGCTTCTTCCCTGGAATTGGAGCAGGTGCCTGAATTCTAGCTGGTTCCTCTGCTCCCCATCCTGAGTCTACTGTTGACATTCTCTATATCTAGGTGGTCGTTGTCTCGTCATGTAAGTTGCCCGCACCCCCTGATTGGCATGGTTTCTGATAATGATGATTGCTCAGTAACTCTTCTCTCTGCCTTCTTCAGTTGCATCCATAGACTTTCACGCTAACGTTTTTTCTGGCATTAATCTTTGTTCTTTGGACTAGCCCATAGGCATTTACTCCAAGGGCAGTTTTTCTGTCTTTGTCTAAGAACTCTCTCCCCTCCAAGTATTTGACGGGGAGCGCTGAATCCAGTCCTCTCAAATGGAGAATCAAAAAGCAAAATGAGATCATAGGTTGCCTTTTTAGTGACTTTCTGGGGGAAAAGCCCCAGACACCAAAGCCTGTGTGTGCTGGTCTGGCCTATAACACAAGGCAGGAAATTGGGCAAGGAGGGGTATGTGGTAGGAAAAATGATGAAGGCTGTCTACGTATAGGACCCTTTGGAAAATACCAACATTTTCTGGCTCCTGTCCCCTTAATCATTTTTCTTTCTCTTTCCTTTAAAAATATTGTCATACCAGAATCTATGACACAGGACCTTTGGTATTCCTGAGTTCTCAGATTCTCTGAAAAGTGTATGACACTAAACTCACAAACCACCTGCTATTAAAGTCACTTATTTCTAAAAATTACAGATGCCAAATATAGTGAATTTGAAGAACTCATTTGTAAGTACCTATGAAAAGAGGTGGAGACAGTCAGGGATTCAGACACCATATGCCAGGTTTCACCCTCAAGCAAATTTTTCCAGAATGCATCAACCTTTGGAAATGGAATTTATATTGAAAAATGCTGACACCTTCTTTATGTAGTTTCTTTAAGGTGCTGTGAGTTTCTCACAGTTCATAAAAATACTGTAACCTGAAAAAGTGTAAGATATTGTATTTCTGAAGCCAGTTTTTTTTTTTTTTTTTTCTGAGACAATTAAAAGAACTCACAAAGTAATTAATTGGCTGTGATAGGAACAAAGTTCAAAGTGGCAAGCTGACCTCGCATCTCGAATGAGTTGACAGTCTTGATCTCGACAAGTCTAAGTTCACATTTGTGGCCGTGAGAACATCTGCCAACAGGGCCTTGCTAATGACTTCAAGGGTTGGGTCTCTGGATGGACCAGCAGGTTTCATTCTTCCAAGGTCACCAATCACACCTCTGACCTTGGTTAGCTCTCCCATCTACTTCTCATTGTCCTATTTGCCTTCTATCTCCCACTCTCTCATGGTTAAGTTCTCTCACTTATGGGCACCAACCAGCCCTAGGCATTTCATTGATGACTCACAGGGGTGCTTCCCAGTCCTTTTAAAGTCATGGTGCACATAGAAAATTTGTAGCTCACTGAGGAAAACACCAGCTACCCCAAGGAAAACACTGGCTACTTGAGAGCTGAGGGCTCAACATCTCAAAACCTCTATCAGCAGCAGAATGGCAGGGAATCTCTTACAGGATGGATTCAGGATCTTTTGCTCACACCTTGAATGAATCACCTTGCAGATCTCTGGAGGCAAGGAGATGAATACCTTTTTGGTCTCTTAGCAGCTGACACAAAAATATCTAGGCCCTCCTTCTTTGGGATAAAAGCTTAGAGTGCTTGGGTTAGGAATACTGTTTGGCATCAAAGCTTCAGTACAGAGGGACGTTGCTGTACCTAAAAGGGAGACAAGCAGCCCATGAGTGGGTGAGTAGCCGGAAAGGGTGAGATTCTGCATGGGATGGTGGCAGAGAAGACATTCTGGAGAAACTGTCAGCTGTTAACTTAGGGTGCACAATGTAAAATCCCCAGTCACTTCACCAAGGAGCATTAGAATTTAACTAAGTCTCCTGTACCAGAGGCCTCGGCAGGTGGTTTTAGTTTTCTCATCTGAAAATTAGATCATACAGCCTTCTTTATTGGGGGTGCCCTGACGACTAGAATCATAGCACCTAATACACATAGCATGGTGCCTGGAACAGAAAATAGCACAATTCTCAAAATAAATGTTATTAGACTGTAAACATCCTGTGGGCAGACTGGATCCTATTTATTTATTATATGAGTCCATTCCTGATTCTATATAGTCCTTTTCCAACGGTATGGTAATTATATGCTGATAGAGCTGATAGTAATAATAGGCTGATCGAGTAATCTCCATCACCAGTGCTCAGCGCAGTGCATGGCACAGAGTCAGTTCTCACTGAGTGTAATGAAGAGAACAGGTGAAGAAAAAAACAGCTCTAAGTTTTAGAAAATTCTTCCTGAAACCAAATTGAATATGAAGCTTTCCTTTTGAAATCCCAATTGACTGCCTTTTG